TTTCCCCAGTAAGATCAAAGCTTTATTAGAATTTAAATTCCCCAAAACCAAGAAGCTCATGCGTAGCTTTCTTGGTTCTGTAAATTTTTATGCACGGTTTATCCCGAATCTTGCTGATTTTACGGGCATCTTATCGGACTTTCCTTAAAAAGTCTGTGAAGGAACCTCTTGAACTTTCCGACTAACTCGGGAAAAGTTTAATGAGTTTTAAAAGTATCTTCTCGAAAGACCCTATACTTAAGATTCCAGATATTAATAAAACATTTTGTTTGAGAACTGATGCTCCAATACTGGCTTAGGTGCGGTGCTACTACAATACCATGATGGTACTCCCTTCCCTGTATGCTTCCTAAGCCGAAACTCCTTCCCGCAGAAACAAGATACTCCACAATAGAAAAGAAATTTTAGCCCTTGTGTGAGGTATTTCCAAACTTAAATTTTATTTGCTGGAAAAGAATTCATTTTAGAAACGGACCACAAACCTTTGATATACCAGAAACTTTTAAGGGAACCAACAGTCGCCTCTTGAGGTGGACATTGGCACTCCAGGCTTTTAAGTTCCATATTTTGTATATCAATGGTTCATCCAATTATTTCTCTGACTGGTTAAGTCGTGACAGTCAGTAGAAGATTTGTTACCTTACGCGACTTCCACATGTTAGAAATTTTTCTCCTCGCCTATTCCCTTCTTATACTCCTTGACTATAAGTCTTGGTATGGGGGAGTGTGAGGGAAAAGTTCAATAGATAGGAGTAGCAATATAGTAACAATAGTTTCATTACCGGCTACTAGTTAAGGTAGGGTAAGTCACGCTCCCGCCTTTCTTCCCCCTCCCAGAAAGTGATAGTTTCATTGCCGGCTACTAGTTAAGGTAGGGTAAGTCACGCTCCCGTTTTTCCCGCCTTTTCTCCCCCACCCCTAAAGTGATAGTTTGATTGCCGGCTGCTTGTTAACGTAGGGTCAGTCTAGCTCCCGCTATCCCTTCCCCTCTCTCTTCCACCCCCCCCCCTCGAAAGGTGACGTATGGGGCTCTGGTCAAACAGTAAATTACTAGACTTACAGCTCCCAACTCTACTCTTGGATGACAGTGAGGGTCACCTGTCAATCAACGAGAAGAACGGATGGAGAAGGACTAACGTCCAGAGACTTCCCCATTTTGAATTACCTGTGCACCTGTATGAAATTGCAGGACGTAACCCCACATCATTGCAGCGGTAAAGAACCTGCTTTCCTGTCATCGGGATACTACTCACGGCGTTAATCTGTGAAGAACTAGCCAGTGGTGGTCACCAACACCTGCGACCCCCCCCCCCATCATCAGCAACGGCTACGATTTCAACAAGCAGTGTCACCAACACCAGACACCCAAGTGTTAAATTAGCGTTGAATTCAGTTATCATTTATATTTTTCATTTTTCATTTTCTTTAATGTAGGATTAATATTTCATATTTAAGTGTTTTATATTTTATATTTTCTACATAATAAAGTGTTTATGTTTGTCTGTTATTATTTCTTTTTCTATTCACTAATTTTCCTGAGGAGGAGCCAGCCTGGGTAATACTGTCTGAAGTTGTTACAGGGCTGAGTAAACCTTCACAGGAGCAATGGGCTAGTAACCCCTTCTCCTGTAGACATTTACTAAAAAAGAGAAGAAGAAAAACTTTATAAAACTGGGATGCTTGAATGTGCATGGATGTAGTGCAGATGACAAGAAACAGATGATTGCTGATGTTATGAATGAAAAGAAGTTGGATGTCCTGGCCCTAAGCGAAACAAAGCTGAAGGGGGTAGGGGAGTTTCGGTGGGGGGAAATAAATGGGATTAAATCTGGAGTATCTGAGAGAGTTAGAGCAAAGGCAGGGGTAGCAGTAATGTTGAATGATCAGTTATGGAAGGAGAAAAGAGAATATGAATATGTAAATGCAAGAATTATGTGGATTAAAGTAAAGGTTGGATGCGAGAAGTGGGTCATAATAAGCGTGTATGCACCTGGAGAAGAGAGGAATGCAGAGGAGAGAGAGAGATTTTGGGAGATGTTAAGTGAATGTATAGGAGCCTTTGAACCAAGTGAGAGAGTAATTGTGGTAGGGGACCTGAAATGCTAAAGTAGGAGAAACTTTTAGAGAGAGTGTGGTAGGTAAGTATTGGGGTGCCAGGTGTAAATGATAATGGGAGCCTTTTGATTGAACTTTGATAGAAAGGGGTTTAGTTATAGGTAATACATATTTTAAGAAAAAGAGGATAAATAAGTATACAAGATATGATTGTAGGGCGAAATGACAGTAGTTTGTTGGATTATGTATTGGTAGATAAAAGACTGTTGAGTAGACTTCAGGATGTACATGTTTATAGAGGGGCCACAGATATATCAGATCACTTTCTAGTTGTAGCTACACTGAGAGTAAAAGGTAGATGGGATACAAGGAGAATAGAAGCATCAGGGAAGAGAGAGGTGAAGGTTTATAAACTAAAAGAGGAGGCAGTTAGGGAAAGATATAAACAGCTATTGGAGGATAGATGGGCTAATGAGAGCATAGGCAATGGGGTCGAAGAGGTATGGGGTAGGTTTAAAAATGTAGTGTTAGAGTGTTCAGCAGAAATTTGTGGTTACAGGAAAGTGGTGTGTGGAGGGAAGAGGAGCGATTGGTGGAATGATGATGTAAAGAGAGTAGTAAGGGAGAAAATGTTAGCATATGAGAAGTTTTTACAAAGTAGAAGTGATGCAAGGAGGGAAGAGTATATAGAGAAAAAGAGAGAGGTTAAGAGAGTGGTGAAGCAATGTAAAAAGAGAGCAAATGAGAGAGCGGGTGAGATATTATCAACAAATTTTGTTGAAAATAAGAAAAAGTTTTGGAGTGAGATTAACAAGTTAAGGAAGCCTAGAGAACAAATGGATTTGTCAATTAAAAATAGGAGAGGAGATTAATAAATGGAGAGTTAGAGGTATTGGAAGATGGAGGGAATATTTTGAGGAATTGTTAAATGTTGATGAAGATAGGAAGCTTGATTTCGTGTATAGGGCAAGGAGGAATAACATCTTGTAGGAGTGAGGAAGAGCCAGTTGTGAGTGTGGGGGAAGTTCGTGAGGCAGTAGGTAAAATGAAAGGGGGTAAGGCAGCCGGGATTGATGGGATAAAGATAGAAATGTTAAAGCAGGTGGGGATATAGTTTTGGAGTGGTTGGTGCAATTATTTAATAAATGTATGGAAGAGGGTAAGGTACCTAGGGATTGGCAGAGAGCATCATAGTTCCTTTGTATAAAGGCAAAGGGGACAAAAGAGAGTGCAAAAATTATAGGGGGATAAGTCTGTTGAGTAAAACCTGGTAAAGTGTATGGTAAGTTATTATTGAAAGAATTAAAAGTAAGACTGAGAATAGGATAGCAGATGAACAAGGAGGCTTTAGGAAAGGTAGGGGTGTGTGTGGACCAGGTGTTTACAGTGAAACATATAAGTGAACAGTATTTAGATAAGGCTAAAGAGGTCTTTGTGGCATTTATGGATTTGGAAAAGGCGTATGACAGGGTGGATAGGGGGGCAATGTGGCAGATGTTGCAGGTGTATGGTGTAGGAGGTAGGTTACTGAAAGCAGTGAAGAGTTTTTACGAGGATAGTGAGGCTCAAGTTAGAGTACATAGGAAAGAGGGAAATATTTCCCAGTAAAAGTAGGCCTTAGACAGGGATGTGTGATGTCACCGTGGTTGTTTAACATATTTATAGATGGGGTTGTAAGAGAAGTAAATGCGAGGGTCTTGACAAGAGGCGTGGAGTTAAAAGATAAGGAATCACACAAAGTGGGAGTTGTCACAGTTGCTCTTTGCTGATGACACTGTGCTCTTGGGAGATTCTGAAGAGAAGTTGCAGAGATTGGTGGATGAATTTGGTAGGGTGTGCAAAAGAAGAAAATTAAAAGTGAATACAGGAAAGAGTAAGGTTATGAGGATAACAAAAATATTAGGTGATGAAAGATTGGATATCAGATTGGAGGGAGAGAGTATGGAGGAGGTGGGAAAGTATTCAGATATTTGGGAGTGGACGTGTCAGCGGATGGGTCTATGAAGGATGGGGTGAATCATAGAATTGATGAGGGGAAAAGGGTAAGTGGTGCACTTAGGAGTCTGTGGAGACAAAGAACTTTGTCCTTGGAGGCAAAGAGGGGAATGTATGAGTATAGTTTTACCAACACTCTTATATGGGTGGGGAAGCATGGGTGATGAATGTTGCAGCGAGGAGAAGGCTGGAGGCAGTGGAGATGTCATGTCTGAGGGCAATGTGTGGTGTGAATATAATGCAGAGAATTCATAGTTTGGAAGTTAGGAGGAGGTGCGGGATACCAAAACTGTTGTCCAGAGGGCTGAGGAAGGGTTGTTGAGGTGGTTGCGACATGTAGAGAGAATGGAGCGAAACAGAATGACTTCAAGAGTGTATCAGTCTGTAGTGGAAGGAAGGCGGGGTAGGGGTCGGCCTAGGAAAGGTTGGAGGGAGGGGGTAAAGGAGGTTTTGTGTGCGAGGGGCTTGGACTTCCAGCAGCCGTGCGTGAGCGTGTTTGATAGGAGTGAATGGAGACGAATGGTTTTTAATACTTGACGTGCTGTTGGAGTGTGAGCAAAGTAACATTTATGAAGGGGTTCAGGGAAACCGGCAGGCTGGACTCGAGTCCTGGAGATGGGAAGTACAGTGCCTGCACTCTGAAGGAGGGGTGTTAATGTTGCAGTTTAAAAACTGTAGTGTAAAGCACCCTTCTGGCAAGACAGTGATGGAGTGAATGATGGTGAAAGTTTTTCTTTTTCGGGCCACCCTGCCTTGGTGGGAATCGGCCAGTGTGATAATAATAAATAAAAAAAAAACTTAAACTCCTCAATGTGTATTTAGTTCTTTGAGAGCATATGGATTTTTTCACTAGGGAAAAAGTGATTATAAATTTTCTCAAATTTGGACCTCTCTCCCATTATGCATTATTCAGTTTAATAGAAGAAGCACTGTATAATATTTATGCCATAATGGATTACGTTGTTTCAGCATAAAAGCTCAAAAACAGAATTATTATATAATTTACATACCCGAGGATCTTTTGGCCCTGATCTTGAGTGTGATGCTCCTCTCAGAACATCTGGAGTTGACTCCTTTGCTGAACTTGTTCCGGGAATGTTTTCTATATTTTTCACTGGCTCACCAGTCCCAACGGCCTCCCATGTTGACATCTGCCCTGTCTCACGCAAAATGTGAGAATCACCAATATTTTCTTGTGTCCTCATGTGAGCAGTGGTACGAACTGCGAAGGACTCAGACATTGCATCTCGTGGTTTTGTCTGACCTGTATCGTGTGCCACCAGGGAGTCTGCACAAGTTTCTACTGTCTTTGTCTGACCTGAATTATGCACTACAAGTGTGTCCTGGGCAGACAATGATGATGGTAGGACAGGCTCAGGCTGGCCTGCCAACACCATTGGACCAGTGGGTGGTGCTCCCCATTTTTTCCTTGGAGAAAGTTTAAGGCCACTCATTTCTCCACCTGATTCTCGCTGCTGTGCAGGTTGTTGCTTTACTGGGTGTGTTACTCCTGCTGTTTGTGGCTGTTGTCTTAATTGTTGCTGCTGTGCTAACTTTTGGGATGTCTGTTGTTGCAACTGCTGATGCAATTGTAGCTGGTGTTGCTGCTGCCTCTGTTGCTCCTGAATTTGCTGTTGTTGTCTTTGTTGATCCTGTGCCTGTTGTCTATGTTGGTCTTGTTGTCTTTGCTGTTCCTGAATTTGTTGCCGTTGCTGCTGTTCCTGTACCTGTTGTTGTCTTTGCTGATTCATTTGATGCTGCAAGTGATGGTGACTATTTGGATTAAGAATCTGAGTACCCTGTTGCTGTTGCTGAGCTTGCAGCTGCTGCTGAAGCTGTTCCTTCTTTTGTTGCATTTGCTTCTGTTGTTGAATTTGCTGCTCCTTCTGTTGCAGTTGTAATTGCTGCTGTAGTTGTTGCTTTTGTTGCTGTTGTATGGACAATGCTTGCATTTGCTGCTGCAACTGCAGATGATGATGATGGTTATGGCGTAATTCTTGCTGTGCACTAAACACCGGTATCTGCCCCATGGCTGTATTAATTGCTTCAATGGTCCTCGCTGTTGCTCTCCTAAGCGATTCTCAATATAAATTTGGGGATCTATTGCTGACTGTCTGACTGGCTGTGAGAGTGCCCTGCTTCTCCCTCCTTCTTCACCCCCTAATTGACCTATTAAATGACTTCCCTGGCCTGGTCCAACCACACTCATTGGATTATTATCAATCTCTGGAGCCGAGCGTGTACGCTCACGAGCTTCATCAGTTCTCAAGGCAGCAATATTTTGATAATAGGTTCTTGTGAGTTTTGCACCACTCCCCCAGGGTACTGAGGATCTGTGTATTGTGATGTAAACTGCGATCCATAATGTGATGAAGTTGAATACTGTGTTGCAGCTCCTGACTGTTTTTGTTGAGACTGCTGGGAAGCCTGGTCACTTGTGAAAACTGGAGTAAGGTTAATATTTGTTCCAAGGGCTACACGTCCATCACTAAGTTGATATATTGCATCAAGGTCATTGCAAGAGTAATTGTGACTAAAATTATGGAGAGACTGGAAGATTGAGTTTCCTGTTTCTGTTGTTCTTGTTAATTCATTGCGAAGACTCTCGACAGCTTCACTCAAATCTGCTAAATTTTCATATGTGCGTGAGAGATCAGGTGAGCCAAGACAACCTAAGGAAGCTGTTAACAGTGCTCGCCGTCTTGAAGCAAGATCCGGGCTCATATTTCCACCCTGTAAGTATAATATATAATAAAATGACAATAATAATAATTAATATCTTTTCTATCAAGAATTTCAAAGAGTTATCTCAAGGTATTAATACTTGTATCAAAGAATAAATCCCCCAAACAATATCATCACATTTCTTCACAGCAAAACACTACAGACTGAGGGCTATATACCTGATTGATCGTGGCCAGATCTGGGGTGCTATTACTGGAGGGTTTATTGTAGGGATATGGAGGTGGTGGCTTGTATACATGAAGCAGCTCATGCTCCTGATCATGAGCTGCATCTCTCCCACTATCACTGCCTTCTAATAGCTCCCCAGCCGGTGTGGCTAACTCTGGGGTGCTGCAGAAAATACCTAATTCAGTTACAGTACATAAAAGTATGCACATCACTATTATGAGCAATAAAGTAGATGTCGATTTGGCCTCTTGTACTACTGACAGAATTATTGGTTTTCCCTGTCTAATTTAAATCTGCATTCATTATACAGTGATCATATTTACATTCCTGTAAATTTCATGAATCAATTTCTCACATCTACAAGTTTAAATCTAAATTCTAATGCATGCCATAAAAGGCAACAAAACTGGCAGAGCAGAGATCTGGATACCCCTACAAAGAAAGGAAGTACAACTTTGGGATGTCTGAATATAGTAAGTAGACAAAGGGAATAGCTGTGCACTATTATGCACGATAGGAAACTGGATGTCTTAGTACTAAAGAAAACCTAGATAAAAGGATCAGGAGAGTTTGAATGGGAAGAAATTAAAAGAATTGGGGATATATATATATATATCCAAAAGAGTAAGACATAAGGAAGGTTTGATGATATAGTATTGTCAAACGAACAACTAGCAAGAAAATTTGCATGAACATCACAATCCAATAATTGTTGACGATTATGAAATAGGGATGCAAAAAGTAGGTTATTGTTAGTGTAGGAGGAATACAATGGATAGATTCTAAGAGGTGTTAAGTGTAAAAGAATTTTTAGCCAAGTGAGAGAATGCAAGAATGCATAAAAGAAAGTATGAAAAAAATGTGTAAACGTAGAAAACAGAAATCTAAAGAAGAGAAATTAGCAGGGGCTATGACTGAAGTGCTGAAAGTAAGTGGGGACAAAGTAATAATACAATTGGTGAGTTTGTTAGTGTACGAAATATGGGAAGGTATCCTAGGACCTAGGATAACCAAACAGTAAGCCAGATTATTTTATACACAAGGAAGGGGGCCAAAAAAGTGTGTGTGAAAATTATTATTGGTGAAAATTTGCTGAATGTTTGTCATCCAAAAAATTAAAACTGACTCCCTCTCCTTGAATTGAATCTGGCTGCCTTTCATTAACCTCTACAGATTTAGCTCTTCCTCATGAATGTAGTAATAATAATATTTTGTGAAAGAATTCAGGAAAACCAGTTAGCCAGACTTAAGTCTTGGAGGTGGGAAGTACAGTGCCTGCACTCTATAGGAGGGGCTTGGGACATTTGCTGTATGGAGGGACATCTGAACTGTTGTATCCATACGCCTCTGGCAAAACAGTGATATTTAAAAAAAAAAAAAAAAAATGTTGAAGCTTCCAAATGATGTGTACGGCAAAACTGAGATTAATAATCATGACTGTAAAGACAAGAGTATGTCTGGATCAATAATATATAAATGAACAATACATACTTTAATAAAGAAAAATATCTGTTAAATTCAAGGATTTGGAAACTGTCTAAAAGAGAGGTTGAACTTGCCAAATGTTACTAACAGCATAGGTGTTAAGCAGGTGAAAGCTGTACAAAGATTATATAAAAACTGAGGCACATACAAACAGTTCTAAAAGAATGAGAAAAGGAGTCTTGTCTCCATGGCTATTTAATATTTATACAGTGGGTTATAAAAAATCATGAATGCTAGTGTTCAGGGGGTGTGGTCCTAAACTATAATGACTGATTTTAGGCAGAAGCTGTCACACTAGCAGCTATTATTAGAAAATTCAAAAGACAAGTTGTAGAAAGTTCAAATTCACCTAGCACTGACTAAGATACCTAAAGAGTAAGTCAGCTGCTGAGACTTGTATCTCAAGGAAGAGGACCTAAGAATCCCAATGGAAATATGCTACAATTCTTGGCTTTAAATTATTCTGCATTATTAACCTTCCTGGGTTAATAATATAAATAAATTCTTCGTATTCCAGATTTTCTCGGCGGTTGCCAATAAAAACTCTCTGCCGTCTTCACTTATTCCCTTTACACAAATTTCTTGCTCTCAATAAAAATCACAATCCTAAGGATGTATCTTCACCTGTATGTATTGTGAAGAGGTCCAGGCATGAGTATTCCTGCCGATCTGCTGAGCTGAGGTATGGATGGGTCGGGATGTAAAGACAAGTGAGTGTAACCTTTATAGTGGTTGTAGTTACTCACTCCTCCTGCTGGTGTTGACACTGTTCAAACATAATAAAATCTTCTAAATTAAAAACAGCACTAGAAACTTTCCCCCGAAAATAATAAATACCCCACTGCATTATTTCAGGCATACTGTCTCCCTTAACCCATTTTGAAGTTTATAAAACTAGAGTGTTTTTTGTCCTATACAGGCTTAATAAATACTGTAAACCTTCAATTTAATGAACCTCAGCTTAATGGACCTTTGAAATCAGGACAAAATCCACTGGGTCAACTGATTCAGAAACAACAGATAAGGTCTCTTGTCTGCACAACTGCCCATTATTGTTACAATCATGGCTGAACAGTTTCATCTCTCTCCACCACAATCACTATTGCTCTGTTAAACTGAGGTTTACTATATTTCTGATCATAATGGCTGCAGCTGTTACTACACCAATTACATTTTCTAACAAAACTACACATTATTATCATGAATGCACACTACAATTTTTATGTTAATGCAATAAGCAGTGTACAATATATAACATTTGCTTTAAACATGCTAGCATTTCCATGTCTACAGAGCTGAATACTGATGCTGTATTACTAACATCTGTCTACAGAGCTAAGAACTCATGCTGTTTGATGAAAAATCCTAACTATTGTATTGCTAAAATAGTAACAAAGTACAGTGGACCCCCGGTTAACGATATTTTTTCACTCCAGAAGTATGTTCAGGTGCCAGTACTGACCGAATTTGTTCCCATAAGAAATATTGTGAAGTAGATTAGTCCATTTCAGACCCCCAAACATACACGTACAAACGCACTTACATAAATACACTTACATAATTGGTCGCATTCGGAGGTAATCGTTATGCGGGGGTCCACTGTAATACAGTAGAACCACCGTATCAACTGATTTGGTATCCATGGTTTACTGTGGCCCAAAAATACCTCTTAATTTTACATAATGACCCCAAAACACAAAAGTAGTGATGGTGACAGTTCTTCAAGGCCTAAGAGAAGCCATGAAGTGCTTCCCATTAGTGAAAAAGGTGCTAATTCTCCACTTACTGTGCATAATTTATCAAATAAACTTTATAAGAAGTATGTATAGGACTTTTATTCTAGGTAGTAGGTTGGTAGACAGCAACCGCCCAGGGAGGTACTACCGTCCTGGCAAATGAGTGTAAAACAAGAGCCTGTATTTGTTTTACATGATGGTAGGATTGCTGGTGTCCTTTTTTCTGTCTCATGAACATGCAAGGTTTCAGGTACGTCTTGCTACCTCTACTTACACTTAGGTCACACTACACATACATGTACAAGCATATATATACACACCCCTCTGAGTTTTCTTCTATTTTCTTTCTAGTTCTTATTCTTGTTTATTTCCTCTTATCTCCATGGGGAAGTGGAACGGAATTCTTCCTCCGTAAGCCATGTGTGTTGTAAGAGGCGACTAAAATGCCAGGAGCAAGGGGCTAGTGACCTCTTCCCCTGTATATATTACTAAACGTAAAAGGAGAAACTTTTGTTTTTCCTTTTGGGCCACCCCGCCTCGGTGGGATACGGCCGGTGTGTTGAAAGAAAGATGTATAGGACTTTTATGTAGGGTTTGCTACTATCCACAGCAGGTTCTTTGAACATACATATCTCCCGTGGATACTGGTGGGTCCTAGTGTAATTAAAAAATAAAAGCGGATATACGTATATACTTTTTTTTTTTTTTTTTTTTCAACAAGTCGGCCGTCTCCCACCGAGGCAGGGTGACCCAAAAAAGAAAGAAAATCCCCAAAAAGAAAATACTTTCATCATCATTCAACACTTTGAAAGTGTTGAACGTATATACATACAGAAAAAAAAAAAAGGGATACCCAGCCAACTTTTTGAAGAGCAGCCACTGTACTTCTCAAAGCTGCAGTTACCCAAATCTTCTCACAGATAATGCAGCATTCATAGTCCAGACTAATATCTTGCCAACATTCATATTTTACTGCTTAATTCATATTCCTTTTAACTTTTTGTGATTTATCCTGATTTAAATTATCATTCCAGTCTTTCACAGTTTTAGCTTTCCATCAAATCTTATGCACTTCCATATACACAATCACTATTTATTCTTTTAATATCCCTAGATTCTTTTGTAAATTTCCACAAATCCAATCACTTCATTTAATCTTTTAATATACAAACAACATTCTTTAATATAAAAAAATATCCCATCTTGAAGCACTACTATTTAACAATGATAATAATCAGTTTCCTAGGCAGCAGGTTGGTAGACAGCAACCACCCGGGGAGGTACTACTACCATCCTGCCAAGCGATTGTAAAATGAAAGCCTCTAATTGTTTTACATGATGGTAGAATTGCTGGTGTATTTTTTTGTCTCGTACACATGAAAGATTTCAGATACGTCTTGCTACTTCTACTTACATTTAGGTCACACTACATATGCATGTACAAGCATATATATATATATATATATATACATCCCTCTGAGTTTTCTTCTATTTTCTTACTAGTTCTTCTTCTTGTTTATTTCTTATCCCCGTGGGAAAGTGGAACAGAATTTTTCCTCCATAAGCCATGCATGTCGTAAGAGGTGACTAAAATGCCAGGAGCAAGGGGGCTAGTAATCCCTTCTCCTGTATGCATTAAAGTTAAAAAGAGAAACTTGCTTTTCTTTTTGGGCCACCCTGCTTCGGTGGAATATGACCAGTTTGTTGAAAGAAGAACAATCAGCTTAACACTGATGTGTATGAAATGTCAAATGTTGCACTTACATTCATGTGCAGTCCCTTCCATTACATGGCTACTGGATATCTCTGGCTGAGAAGAATACAGCATGGTTGCTCGGATGTTAGCAGGGTTTACTCCTGGGCCATACTTTTGTATCAATGCAGTCTCATAGTCTGGTGCTGGCCGGTACTGAGGCAGTAGGCTCCTGTGATGGATTAACAAACCAATCGTACACGAAGAATTAGTTGCAATACCATGGCTGGAACATATCACAGCTAACCCACAAATTGGAGATGAAAGCAGAAGCTTTGGTCCATCCTGGACATTACTAGGTCACAATTTTCACCTCTAACTTGTGGGTTTGTTGTGAACATAATAATACATCTAAAATTAGTGGTGTGTGCTCTTTGACTTATGTTTCAGAACATTTGCATGTGGAAAATGGGTAATTTAGCTGCAGGCAGTGAGAGTATAAGGATCAAATGAAATCACCTAAACCCTTTCTCACTATAAGCTGGATAAATATTACAGGGAAAACTCAAAACACAAAGCTAGCACTGATAGCCAGACGAACCAGGTCATTAACCCGTAAACGGTCCAAGCAGATCTACGTTCACATGTGTGTTGCTACAAAAGAAGATCTAAGTTTTTTTTTACATATTTTCAAATATAACAAAAAAAAAAAAAGTAGATCAAAGTTTTTTTACACATTTTCAAATGTAGAAAAACAAAAAGAAGATCTACTTTTTTTACATACTTTCAAATGTTGAAAAAATGTATATATACGTTTGGACCGTTTACGAGTTAATCAGGAGGCCTGATCCCCTAACAGAAGGAAGGAACAATGATCCCCAGAACTATCAACAAGTAGACAGGATTATAAGATAAAAGAAAACCTGCACAACTAATGAGACATTTTACTGCAACTTTATCTCTTCAAATGATACCTGCTTAGTGATTAATAAACCAAATACTTGCAGATGGAAATGCCTTGAATCATCATTAATCTCCTTTTCAGACAAATAGAATAAAGGAAGTTTCATCATTTCTGACGTATTAGCAGGAGTACTCCTTAAAACGATAAACCCAGGCATCACATAACCACAACTTATTCATACTACTACTAACACTACTGGCATGGACCAGTTGGCCTACTGTAGTGTTTATGTTCCTTTTTCCACTTCACCTTTTTCCTTTTTATACTATGTCCGTGTATTGTTTGTATTGCCTTGACAAAGCTCCTGGGAGAGCAGCATGTAGCCACAGTAAAATGTCTCATTACCTAACATTTTGTTGGTAATTCTACCAACACAATCGCAACAGGTATTTGGGAGGGCAGATGTACTTTGTGGCAATATTACTCATACACTGAGTCACCCTACTTTGGTGGGAGATGGCCAGTGTTAAAAGAAAAAAACATTACTAATGCTGACATATTAAAAATGCAAAATTCTGTCTTGGCTTCTAACACTCACTGAGTATAGTTACTGTTCTGATTTACATTTTATCTTATCTTTTAATACCAGCCTTTTAGCACAATCTTCATCTTGTATAGTGTCTGAACTCCAGGTAATTTCCCAATAAATCTCTCTATGTAATGTAATACATTATCATTATTAGTAGTAGTAGTATTATGCACTCACATTAAAATACAAAATTATGAGGGCAAATCAAAACGTCTTTACATCCACCATTTTTTTTGTCAAAAATAAAATTACAACCCTGCTCTTGCCTCAACAATTTCCACCTGTTAAGGCCTCTGAAGAAGATCCTGGAAGAACAATATTTCAACACATATGATGTGATAACAGCTGTCTGTCAATGGCTATGTAATCAGCCAAGAGAATTCTATGAAGTCACAAACAAACTGGTGACACATTGGGACAGTTTCTTTAATTGGCATGGTATTTACGTTAGGAAGTAACCAATGATCAACATTCAACATGACTAAACTGAGCATAAAGACTTTTCGATCTACCCTTGTAATACTACCCCACTCTAATTTCATCATTATATACATAGTCTGTTGCTGTCCCCTTAACAATGTTCATTAACTTCAGTTTCTCCACAAAATTTTGTGTACAGACATTTCACAGAAAAAACCTCATGCAATTACATTGCTCCCTGAATTTATGCCAAGTGTATTTTGTGTTTTGTGATTAAATATTGTTATTATTACTGATTAAAAATTATTTGTAACTTATTTTGCCAGAATTTTGCCAAGAAGCCTAAGCAACCCCTTACTACCTACCTTCTAAAGCTCCCTCTGGCTGATGGAAGACTTAGATTGGAAGCATACAGAGCCACTTGCTGACTCCCTCCCTCACGCAGCTGTTGCTGTTGAGACTGCTGCTGTTGCAAAGCAGATGGCTGCGAAACTTGACCATGTGATGCTATGACGACCTGTTAATGTATGAGAAAGTCACAATACAAACTATGCTTCAAGAACCGAAGGGTATGAATAAAAACTTTAAAGCTTGCCAATTCATACTGATGCCTCAAAACTATACCTTAAGTGACCCTTCCACTTTACCCAATAATCTTTCTGAATTCTTAGCCTTTTAACCACCACCACCTTCTTCAAAATACAGTGGACCCCTGCATAACAATATTATTTCAATCCAGAAGTCTGTTTGGGTGCCGTTATAGACCGAATTTGTTCCCATAAGAGATATTGTGAATTAGATTAGTCCATTTCAGACCCCCAAAAATACACCTACAAAAGCACTTACATAATTGGTCGAGTTGGGAGCTGATCGTTATGCGGGGGTCCACTGTATATTTTATAATCTTCTGAACCACATCCTTCAATCAGACCAGATTTAATAACTTCCTGTTTTAATGATAAATTTGCTATTATTTTCAAATGAGTATATTAATCAGGAGCTAAGTATCCTTTTGTTAATTACAATTTTTGCCTCTTTGTTTAGTATGTCAAGTCAGAGAAGCATAAGTGACTTTTACTGTTCATGATATTATACAGGTCCACATCCCTTTATCCAAAATTCTGAAATTCGAAAAGTTCCAAAAACCGAAGTTTTTTGTGGAGTGTGGAGCGTCAGTCATCTCAGTGCTGGGTCACGCCACCACGTGGTGGCGTTGAGAACCATTCTGAAATTCGAAACAATACTGGCCCCAAGGGTTTCGGATAAAGGGATGTGGACCTGTACCTTCTGTTCCAGAAAAGTGGCTGGATCTGTTCATATAGTCTCCTTCCAAGACAATAATCTTGTTGCATTTCTGACACTTACATCAATATGTTTTTCATATGTGTCTTCCCTCACTCCAATCCTTATAATTAATCTTTTATTTTTATTCACATTAGAATAACCTCCATAACACCATCATATACATTTCGCCAGCTTACCACAATGGTGACTTTAACAATGTCTGTGTTTTACATTGTATGCAACATGGATTGCCCAGGGTGAGAATGGTTATTCAAGAAAAAGACAGCAACTGAAGAAAATGCCTTGAATCAGCTCTTATTCATACCATAGATATTAGCATCCAAAACAAAGGAGGTTTCCTGGGTTACATGCTCTTCAGCACAGTGCCCTCCTGTCCTGACAGAGTTCATACCTCATGCCTCACCTCCTGCTCTCTAAACTATGTAAACCTAATCTTACTGTGTACTTTTTATACACATGAAAAATCTCCAAGCATATACAGAATATACAGTACAGTATATATATTAAACATACCTGGTTCTGTTGGGGATGGTGAGTAGTGTTGAGGGAGTATGCTGACTGTGACAACATGCCATATGAAGGGTCACTCATTATCTGTGAACTGGAAGACTCTACTGCTGCAGCCAAGTGACCGCTTGACTCTGCTGGCTAAACAGTTAGGAAAAAAAAAAAAGAAACTTGAAAATTCACTTTACTGCAGTAGCCCAAAACCTAACCTGTTATATAAGTGGGGCCCCACCTTTCCACAATTACAGAAACTTTGATCTGGACCAGGTTGGTGTGATGGTGAGAGATGCCTTGAGCAGAATGAGCGTATCTACACTGTCTGTTGACCAGACAGCAAAGATTCATGATGAGGTATTTGTGGCTGTAACTTGTTCTGTCCTTTGATCACTTAAAGGATCTTGATTCATGATTGCCCTTTCATACGATTCCTCTGTTGCCCAGCTACATAGGTTTCACAGGAGCATTGAGTGTCAACTGTGTAGTTTGCATACTCCTGAATCACAGTCTGATTGTTGTTACATTTATGACTTATGACTTAGTGTATGAGTGCTTGTGAATTTCTTAAAAGAACATGTGCTCAATAATAAAATCTCACATAATAATAATAATTATTACTGGAATGTAGAAATTAAAATCTTGCATGTGGTGACAAAGCATATAATTCAGAGGACTAAAGAAGGGTTGCTGAGGTGGTTTGGGCATACAGAGAACATGGAAAGGGACAGGCCGATGAAGGTGTATAAAACTGGGGAGGATGATAGGAAGGGAAAGTCTTCCCAGAAACAATAGAAGGGAGGGAATACAAGAGATTCTGAGTTTTAAGAAGCTTGAGCATCCAGAAGGCTTGTGTGAGTGTTAAATATGATTTTTTAATGGACATGCTGTTGGAGGATGAGAAGAGCAGTGCCTGCACTCTGAAGGAAGGGTGAGGATATTGCGGCCTGGAGGAGCATCTGAACTGTAGTGTTAGCAGGCCTTTGGCAAGACAGTGATAAAGTGACAGTGAAAGTGTTGCTTCTTTTTTGAGTCACCGTACCTCAGCGGGAGACAGCTAGTGTTAAAAAAAAAAATACAGAAATGCACTAACCTGTATGTAAGACATGTCAAACTGAGGCAGAGAAGTAGTGTAGGATGCCAGAGCTCCCTGATCTGCAGAACTTCTCATAGTCAGCTCTCCCAGTCCACCACGATTGTCCACCTACAAGAAAGGGTTAATATTCTGCACAACCTGCATCTATCATTTATACAATATGCAATTTATTTTCCATTCAAAATAGGTATGATCAATCATATATAGAGCCTTATAATTCCCTCACATATATCTTCAGTGTCAAAAGGAGTAAAATTGGACAGATTACATATAATTGCTACAGCGCTTTGATATTAACCCTTTGAGGGTTTCGGACGTACTAGTACAGCTTACGACCCAGGGTTTTTGACGTACTAGTATGCCTAAATTCTAGCGCCCTCAAATCTAGTGGGAGAAAGCTGGTAGGCCTTCATATGAAAGAATGGGTCTATGTGGTCAGTGTGCACAGTCTAAAAAAAATCCTGCAGCACACAGTGCATAATGAGAAAAAAAAAACTTTGACCATTTTTTTGGAATAAAACAGCGACTTTGCACTGTATTTTCGTATGGTATTTATTGTTGTATTCTAGTTTTCTTGGTCTCATTTTATAGAATGGAAGACATATTACAGAAATTGAGATGATTTTGACTGGTTTTACAATGAAAGGTACCTTGAAATTGAGCTCAAAGTAGCAGAAATGTTTGATTTTTACCAAATTTCAAAAGTAAACAAATCGTGCCAAGCGTGCAATACACGTCAACTGGTGAGTCTAATATTCTTTTACAAGTGCACCAATAATATTTATACCATTTTTTACACTAATGCAGTAGTCTGCATAACAGTAAATCTTATATTTTTTGTGAGAATAAAAATTCAAAGTGGAAAGCAAAAGAATATAAGAGGGGCCTTGAGACGTGACTAATGACCAGAGGAAATGTCATTTTAGTGCCAGGAATGTCTTTCTTGTTTATTCTGGACCCTATTCGGAAATTGGCATCTTTTGAAATTTGTGTGAAATTGGCAAAATTGCTAAATTCTGACCACTGTACTGGATAGTTGAATTTCATAAATGGGTGGTTTCTTGCACCCATTCGATAGAAAAAATGGAGTTCTAGTGAAATATTCATGTTTTTTGTCGACTAGTACAGTGGAAGTGGCCGAAAATGGGGCTCAAAGTGGGCAAAATCGCCGATGTGTAAACATCGCCGAGACCGCTAACTTTGCGAGAGCATAATTCCGTAAGTTTTCCATCAAATTTCAAACTTTTGGTGTCCTTATGATCGGGAAAAGATTCTCTATCTTTTCATAAGAGAAAATTATTTTTTTTTTTTTTAAATTTGGCCGACCCTGAGAACGAGTTTCGGAGAGGGCCTGTCGACCCTCAAAGGGTTAATACGTATGTGTTCGACGGAGTGATTGGAATCTGAACCCATGGTCTAGGATTACGAGGACGTCATCTTACCCACTGAACCACGAAGTGGGATTAAGAACATGGGCTGGTAATCTCAGGGTGCAGGTTAGAATCTTAATCGCTCCAAGGAATTAATACTTTCATGTATGCTGTATTATAAATTTTCAAGACAAGTGCATGTGCAAGCTATGGTGAGTCCTCAGGCAAGACTCATGTGCCTAATCATTTTCACAAATTAAACACACATGTCCATCTTTTCCAATTCTGTACCATCTTGGTAAAAATAACAAGCAATTGATTCCCACTTCTTAATGCAGCTTTGCAATATTTTCTTCATTCTCATATACACAACTATCCAAACACAGTACAGAAAAAAAAAGATAAGGCACTGTGTACATAGCACTCAATGTGAACTAGTGTTAAGTGATTCATAAATTGGGTGGAGATGATGAGGTTTGTGTGCTCATGGCACAGATGACAGCATCCTCAGCTCACACACTGAGGGACTGGGGGTCAATAGTGGCATGGGTGAAACTTTAGGAATGTGTCCTTACACCTGCTGACCCTGTTCACCTAGGTACCTGAGTGTTAGGCAACTGTTGTGGATCATATCCTGAAGAAGATTAAAGAATTCCAATGGATTGCCTTATTGGGTTATCTAGGGTGGCCAATCCTCTGGGTTAAAAAATCCAAACAAAATGTTATTTTAACTGTGATGTCCATGTACTTCTGGAAATCCAGATAGGGAATAAATAATGGTGAATATGTTTTCTTTGGATTTTCCTACCTTGGTGGGAAACAAATATGTTAAAAGAGCATTCTTTACTAACCATGTCATGTGAGGCACTGAGGTGGTGGGAGTGATGAAGCTGTGCAGTCATGACAGAGCTCTGTAGGTCAGGGATGGCTAGACTGCGGGTTTCTGTGCTACTGCTTCCCTCTAGCACCTCCTGATTCCTCTTATAAAAGGTATGCTGCAGAAAATAATATGTATATTGATAAACAACACTGCTTTGTGAGGAGCACTATGAAGTAAAGTCTTAACAAAACGCGTCTGTTATGCAGGTTACTGCATTAGTGTAATAAAGTGCTGATAAAATAAGGAGTTTATATTGTAAAGAAAAAGTGCTTCATCATACCACTCATGCTACTGCCCTAATGACACTATGACGTCACTTCTCTAAAGCATTATTTATACAATTATGGAGCACTTATTCCTTATAATATGAACTCCTTATTTTATACATACAATTTACTACAATGATAAAGTAACCTCCATAACAGCATCTCTGAAGAACAGGAAATATGGGTATGTCACAGTTGTGCTAATAATTATATTCTCAATTCAGGGAATAAACAGAGTTCAAAACCATGGCATTGCCAAGCCAGTATTATTATTTTCATGGGGAAGTGGTAAATATTTTAAAATAGCAAACTGGGCTACAGAGAACACAGATAATGAAGAGGATAAAGAGGTACTAGGTAGGTTTAAGAATGCAGTGCTAGAGTGTATAATGGAGGTTTGTAGTGGAAATAAGGACACTGGTAGAAGGAAATTCTTTTAATATGACATTTCACCCAAGTCTGGGCTTTATCAAGTACACAGGGTATGTCAGAGAGATGATTAATTTTCAGAAAAATCAGGTCTAAGACAGGGATATGTATTCATTTATATGTGTGGTTACAGAGATTAAATCCTAGCTCCTGGCCCACTTCCTGCCTGTCAGATACACTTCCTCCTAGCCTCTTAGGCACCACTGTACCTGCTCTTAAAACTATATATGGAGCCTGCCTCTACCACTTCATCAGGGTCATTCCACTTCCCAACCATCCTGAGACTACAGAAATACTTCTTGACATCCCTGTGGTTCATGTGTCTAACTTCCAGTTGTGTCCCCAAGTGCTTGTTTTCCACCTCTTAAGCTGTTATGTCACTAGGGATAACGCTATGGTTGTTCAATAATACATTTATAGATGGTATTGTAAAGGAAGTGAATGCCAGAGTGTTGGGAGGTGGGGGATTGAAATATAAGGAGTCATACAAAATTTGAATTGTCATAGTGACTACTAATGACAGTTCTTTTGGGAGATTCTGAAGAGAAGCAAAACATTGGTGAAGTTCAAAGGGAGTGTAAAAGAAAGCAAAAAAGTATACTGTATGTTGAAACAAATGTGGAAAGAAAATTTTATCCAGGGAGGAAAAAAGGAAAAAGTACCAGAGTGCAGTGGTACCAATATTTATACAAGTACGTGGCATAAGAAGGCCGGAGGCAGTGAACGTGTTACATTTGAGAGCAATGTGTAGTATGAATACCCTCTATCCTTTATATCCACTGTATAAAGGAAAGAGGAGAATAGGATGACCAAGAGGGTGCATAAATCAGGGGTGCAGGTAAGGAAATTTAGGGGTCATCCCTGGATGAGATGGAGGAAAGGGATAAACGAGATTCCAAGTGTAGAGGCTCGAGTATTAAGCAGGCCTGTGCGAGTGTGTTAGTCGGATTAAGTGGAGAAAAATGGTTTTTAGGGTATGATGTGCTGTTGGTGCGAGTCAGGTAATATTTACGAAAGGATTCAAGGATAAGGTCATCAAATGGACACCTTCCTCCATCTTTCCCTTCCTGATCCAAATTTGTCAGAGTACATAAGCATTTACCTCGGTGGGATACAGCCAGTTTGTTGAGAGAAGAAGACAAGCATTTACTGTACAGATAAATAAAATAACTTAATTTCCTGAACAATCATCCAACACAGAAAGGCTCACCTGTTTAACACACATCTTCCATACATATTTGGCAGCATCAGGCTCATCGAAAGTGAAGTGAACAGTTTCATCTGTTCGTTGACACTCAATGCCAAAGTTACGCTTATTGTTCACCAAATTTGTTATGTCATTCCACCTGCAACAAAAATTCTAATGGCTTGACAGTAAGGATATATATTTTTTTTTTTTTTTGAGGCAGGGTGACTCAAAGACAAAAACTCTTTCACTAACATTAATATAAATGCATATAAAATAATCTTAAATATGCACCACAAGCCACCATAAGGGATGAATTCTCAAATTTAATTCACCTGGTTTAACTAATGTATTATATATGCTTAAGGGATTGTAATCACACATACAAATGTAAGGTGTTAATCCTTGGATACATGGAGACTGACCTTCAAAACTGCATAGGGGACGGGTACAGATATACATGCACACATCTGTGCATAAAACATTCTGAAAGGTTATAGTGGGGGTGCTAGAACAAAGTATGAGGGTAGTGCATTAGCTTTAAAGTGGGATACAGGGTAAAGTTTGTGTGAATTTTTTCCTCTACATGTGAAGAAAAAAAAATTACAAAGCTTTGCTAGTGGTAGCAACAAAAACTTACCTATAGAAAATGTGGGTATGGCCAGCTGCAGGTCTAACGTCTATGCCCATAAGTGATGTGCCAAGGTACACCTCGCTACCTCGGTCATCCTGCAGTAACATCAAGTATTAAAATGGGAAATATATGTACCTTTTTTTTATTACAGTTAAGATTTATGATAGTTATTTGTTAATTTATGCAGCCATGATACCAAAAATCAACCATGTTAATATTAAAAAAAAAAAAAATTACCAAAGACTAAGCTTTGAAGATAAAAAAAAAAATCAGAGCAAAGAACTAGGGAGGAACCTACCCTGGCCATGAAGGTTTCCTGTCCATAGCCATCAAGGCGCTGAGCCTCGAGAATATAGTAGGTCTCAGCCAAGGCCTGTGCCAGGCCCTGAAGGGAGGAATACTGCCACACCACTGCTTCCAGTAGAGCTGCCACCTCCCCATCACTTCCCACCTGCTGCTTCCAGAACAACAACTATTAGAATTCTGCTCCAGTTCAACTCATATGAATGCCTTTACAAATAAGACTATTAAGTTAATTTCATTATCTGAGTGGGAATGAAGGTAGCATTTGTTTAAAGAAGTTTTGGAAGAAATTTACAAGGGATAGAAATGTTAAAGATTGCAAAAATAATGTACCAATACTTTTTCTATGCGACATGATTACTGATCAATATGTCACATGATAAAACTATAAAAACAGGAGAAAGGAATTTTTAAACTTTAAACAGTCCTTAAGAACAGTGTAAGCATTATCATAACTTATCTATCATATGAAAAATCATAAAGACATCAGTTACTGAATAAGCTTTACCTTGGGAAAGAGCATAAAATCCTTGAGGTATTCGGCGGTATGGCGATCTGGCTGATGGTCTCCAAACTCAGCTGTTTGAGATTGAAATTGGAATCAAATATAAGCTATGAAAAGTAAAGCTAAGCACCTTAGCATGTATGAAGAATCATCATGTGACTGGCAAGAAAACACATACGTTAAGTGTCAAGAAACGCAGTAAAAACATATAATATGTAGTATTTTTTCTATAATATTTGGTAATGTGCTAAACTTTTTCAAATTTGAAACTATCTTTTCCATATACTGCATATTATTTTTCCTTCTCTGCTAGTCATTTATGGATTTAAAAAAAAAAAATTATTCGTTCCCTAGCTCTATATGATTACCGAGGCTATGATCATTCTTTCCCCTGCCACTGATTCTTAGTGGAGTGCGCCAAATGCTTAACCCATATGAGAGTCCAAGCTATATAATAAATTTTAAAAAATGTGAATACGTTAAGTGACTGCAAATGCTTAGGAAGACTACAGAATGCATCTTTGCAAAATTTGTTCAAGGTTTGCAGTATCAAAAATATACTAGGGGCACATTTTGTACCTACAGTACAGTAGTCCTTCATATTACACAGACTTATTTGGCATGTTTTGGCTATCACACTACTGAAAAATTGCGGCATAATTTTATACAACACGGTTCGGTTTGTTGGAGGGGAAAAATATGGAATATCACCCACAGGATATTTCCCTAGCTCAGGTCGCCGCCTGGCTGTGGGTGAGACCACTGTCTCTGAGGGGCTGCACTAGGCTTCAAGGCAGCAAAGGATCATTTCACCTTGCTCCTTTGCTGTAATGCGTCAGGTGATTTCAAGTGTAAGCTCATGGTTATTTACCACTAAGAATCCTCATGCTTTGAAACTTTTTTTTTTTTTTTTTTTTTTTAACAAGTCGGCCGTCTCCCACCAAGGCAGGGTGACCCAAAAAGAAAGAAAATCCCCAAAAAGAAAATACACCTACCATCCGACTTACGACCTGCTCGACTTACGACCGACTTACGACCGTGTTTTTTTTTGCCAAATTTCTGGGAAATAAACAACTATTTGTATTGTACACAGTGTTTATCCTAAACCTTACAGTATAAAATACTGTACTAACAACATAAAAAATAAAGTAAAACATGAAATACCTAAATAAAACAATAAAATAAAGTCATTACAAAAATGTGATGTTGATATTCAGTAGTAAAGTTCGACTTACGTCCATTTCGACTTACGACCGGTTTCTCGGAACCGAACTCGGTCATAAGTCGGATGATAGGTGTACTTTCATCATTCAACTCTTTCACCTCCCACATAATCACTTTATGCAGAGGTGCTCAAAACACAACAGCTTAGAAGCATATACGTATAAAGATACACAACATATCCCTCCAAACTGTCAATATCCCAAACCCCTCTTTTAGAGTGCAGGTACTGTTTTCTCATTTCCAGGACTCAAGTCCAGCTATATAAAAATAACCGGTTTCCCGAATCCCTTCACTAAATATTACCCTGCTCACACTCCAAAAGATCGTCAGGTCCCAAATACCATTCGTCTCCATTCACTCCTATCGAACACGCTCACGCACGCCTGCTGGAAGTCCAAGCTCCTCGCCCACAAAACCTCCCTTACCCCTCCTTCCAACCTTTTCGAGGACGACTCCTACCCCGCCTTCCTTCCCCTACAGATTTAAATGCTCTCCATGTCATTTTATTTTGATCCATTCTCTCTAAATGACCAAACCACCTCAACAACCCCTCTTCTGCCCTCTGACTAATACATTTATTAACTCCACACCTTCTCCTAATTTCCACACTCCGAATTTTCTGCATAATATTTACACCACACATTGCCCTTAGATAGGACATCTCCACTGCCTCCAACCACCTCCTCGCTGCTGCATTCACAACCCAAGCTTCACACCCATATAAGAGTGTTGGTACTACTATACTTTCATACATTCCCTTCTTTGCCTCCATAGATATTGTTTTTTGTCTCCACATATACCTCAATGCACCACTCACCTTTTTTCCCTCATCAATTCTATGATTAACCTCATCCTTCATAAATCCATCCGCCAACACGTCAACTCCTAAGTATCTGAAAACATTCACTTCTTCCATACTCCTTCTCCCCAATTTGATATCCAATATTTCTTTATCTAAATCATTTAATACCCTCATCACCTTACTCTTTTCTATGTTCACTTTCAACTTTCTACCTTTATACACACTCCTAAACTCGTCAACTAACCTTTGCAATTTGAAACGTGTAGATAAAAAACACCTTGCCAGGAATTTGAAGGTTAAACCAGTCAGCATGGATGACAGAGGAAATATTTATTGACTGGTTTAAGCATTACTTTATTCCTGAAGTCAAGTTTTACCTGCATAACAAGAATCTTGCATTCAAGGCTCTCTTCATTCTTGATAATTCCCGTACTCATCCAGAAGCTTTGCTGGATGTGACCCCACATGCAAAAGTTGTATTTTTGCCTCCAAATACATCATCTTTAATACAACCACTGGATCGGGGAGTTATTAAGTCATTGAAGTGTAACTACATAAGAAAAGTAATTAAAAAACTAGTTGCATCAATGGACTGACTCCAACCTGGCAGTACCAAGCTTCTGGAATAATGTATAATGTACTGCAGGGTAAAAGAAGCCAGAGATCCATTACAGAATTTATGCACACTCCAATACAACTATTGACTTTAGTACCAGAACCTCAACCGTCCGCTTCTGCTGACAACCAACAACCATCCACCTCAGCCCAGTAGGGCCACACCATGCATCTCCATTCTCTTCACAATTACTGACATACACCAGCAACACAATAGGTTTTGTATTTGTTGTTTGTAGACAGCAACAAAACCAGGGAAGTATTTTTACGTCTGAAAGAAAGGATGTGAAACAAAAACCTGTACTGGTTTTGCGGAGGGCGGGATCCCAGGAACGTAATCTTTTTTTTCATAAAAGCTTAATTATAACACGGATTTCTTTTTTATCCTAAAACACTTTTAGTCAATTAACACGCTGTAAAATATCTACTCTAGGTTTTTAAAACTTTTTTAACAGCTCCCCTTTATAATCTCTAATATTAGCAATCTATTTCAGCCAGCCACAACATGGAAAAGAATGGAATCCTCAAGCCATGGTGATCGTATGAAAGGGGACTAAAAGGGGAAGCAATGTCATGATAACCATTCCTTCCCTCTTGTATTTAAAATTTCAAAAAAGAGTGAGATGAAAAAACATTTATTGTTACTTTAAATGTCGTGATTAAGTGCGGATGACAAGAAACAAAATAGTGTGTTTAAATAGAAAACAAGTTGGTGTCTGGCAGAATAATCGTAAACAAGCTGGGAAAGGGTTTAAGAGTTTCCCTGGGGGGAATATAAAATGGGATTAAATTTGGAGTATCTGGGGAGCAGTTAATTCAGAAGGAGAGGGAGCAGTTAATGTTAAATGACAGTTATGGAAATTTAAAAGAGAATATGAACTGTTAAATTAAAAATTTTTGTGAATGAAGTAAAGGTTTGAATAGAATCTCAGTCTTTAAGCAAGTGAATGCACCTGAGATAAGGGAAAAGAGAAATGCACAGGAGAAGAGAGAGATTTGGGAAAAGTTAAGTAAAATGATTTGGAGCCTTGAACAAGTGGTAAAATTAATTTGTAGGAGTACTTGATTTCACCTAAATTAGGATAAATTTTTAGAGAGGGTTGTGGTAGTAATTGGAGCAAAGGTTGTAAAAGATAATTGTACCCTTTCAATTAACTTTGAATAGAAAGGAGTATGGTACAGGTTTACAGACAAGTTTAATTAAACATTTTATTTTTAAAGAAAAAGAATGGTAAATAATATACAAAAGAATAATGATGTAGGGCGAAATGAGTGTTTGTTGGTTAGGGATTGTATAAACAGACTGTTTGAGGAGATTCAAGACAGTTTATTGAGGGGAACTGAAACAGATCACTTTCTTTAGTAATACAGAATTAGAGTGGTACATGGTGAAAGAGCATCAGGAAGAGAGGTGAAGAGTTTTAAACTAAAAGGGGAGTTAGGGTAAAATTAACCTATGAGGATTGATGGCTTATGAGGCATAGGCAATGGGGTCGAAGCAGGCTGGGTTGTTTAAAAATGTAGTGTTAGGTGTTCAGCGAAGTTTGTGGTTACGGAAATGGGTGCGGAGGGAGACTTGGAATTGAGGGAAAAATAGTAAATGAAAAAATTGCATTGAGAATTTTTACAAAGTAGAAGTGAGCAAGAGGGGAAAAATTAAAAAAAGAGAAGTTAAGAGAGTGGTGAACAAGGAGGCTTTGGGAAAGGTAGGGGGTGTGTGGCCAGTGTTTACAGTGAAACATAAGTGAACAGTATTTAGATAAGGCTAAAGAGGTCTTTGTGCATTATGGATTTGAAAAGGCGATGACCAGGGGTAGAAATGAAAAGGCAATTATTAATTTCAAACTAAAGAATTAAAGTGTCATGGTATGGAAGGTATTATAAAACAGTGAAATTTATTTACGAGGAATAGAGAGTAAGTTCAGAGTATGAGAAAGAGGAAATTTTTTACCAGTAAAAGTACACTAGACAAGGTGTGATGAATGTCACGGTTGTTTAATATAAAGATGGGTTACTAATTATTACAGGGGTCTGGAAGAGGTGGATTAAAAGATAAAGAATCATAACAAAGTGGGAGTTGTCAACATTCTTTTGTGAACATGGCAATGAAGATTTGAAGAGAAGTTCAGAGATGTGAAATATTCGACTGCAAAAAAGAAATTAAAGATGAAACGAAAGGTAAGGACTATAGAGCTATAAAAAAAAGATTTAGAAGTATAAAGATTGAACTATCAAATTGAGAAGAGTATGGAGGAGGTGAAGTATTCGTATTCTCTAGTGACGTGTCAGCGAGATTGAGTCTAGCTGAAAGATGAGGTGAACCATCCTTCGAATTGATGAGGGAAAAAGATTGATAGAAGTGCACTTAGATCATCTGAGAGACCAAAGAAACTTTCAGCCTTGGAAGACAAAAAGGCAAATGTATGTAAGTTATCAGTTAATTACCAACGCCTTATATGGATTGCAACGTGGGTGATGAATCGTTCAGCAGAGTAAGGTTGGAGCATGCAATGTCATGTCTGACGCCATGATATGTGTGTCAAATACTAATGCAGAAATTGTTTCTGGAAAGTTACGGAGGAGGTCAAGGTCATTAAACCAAAAACGTTAAGTCAAGTATCTGAGAAGGGTCATCTTGCAGGATGTTCGGACATATTTATAAAATGGAAACGAAACATTTCAATGCACTTCAATTACTGTATCAAGTCTAAGTACGTAACCTGAAAAAGGCGGGTAGTAAAGACCTAGAAAGGGTTAAAGAGCAGCCTGGATACAAGGAAATATTTATTGCGAGGTTGAACTTTCCAGAAGTCATTGCTTGAACTTTGATAGGAAGAATGAATCAGACAAATGGTTAATTCTAATCACTTCGGATGTGCTGCTTGGAGTTGCGCAAAGTAACATTTATCGAAGGGATCAGGGAAACCGGCAAGCCGACTTGAGTCTGGAATGGGAAGTACAGTGCCTGCACTCTGAAGGAGGGTGATAATGTTGCAGTCTATAAATTAATTACTGCAGGGTAAAGAAGCCTTAGGTCAAACAGTTGATGGCACTCAAACAGATATTGATTTGAGTGAAAAGTTTTTCTTTTGGGACACACCCTGCCTAGGTGGGAATCGCCGATTGTGTTAATATAAAAAAAAAATTATAATATTTTTCGGTTGCATTTGTAGTCTTAGGCAACAAAAACGGCATGTAGTCATTTTAATTTTTGAAAGATATGGATGTCTAAAAAAAATCTGCTTGGCTTTTGGGGGGCGGGGATCCCAGGAACGTAACCTTATTTTTTCCATAAGTTCTCAATTTTATAACACGGATTTTTTTTTCTAACACAGCATTTCAGATGTAACTAATCTGTGTAAAAATGTAGGGTTCTACTGTCCTTTTAAACCACTTAAAAGCCTTTTAACCATGACTGGCCCATATGAATAAAGTCATACTAAAATATGAAGCAATCAGTATGCAGCCAGCAAACACAAACATGAAATAAAAATGGAAGTCACAAAAATCAACAGGTGATAACGACTAACCCTGAAGGCTGTATGAGGCAAGGAGGACAGCTTGTTCATGATTACACCGAAGTTTGCCCTCCAACACATCTTGTTTAACTTGCAAAAAGTAGTGTGATCTGCGTGAATAACAAACATGTTTATTTTTCTACTCTTCAGGTTAACCTGCTCAGTGATTAAGAAATTCCTGTTCTTTAGATATCAACAGTATACTTAAAATAGTGTTTTAAAATAGTTCTTAAAACATTAGTGTGGGGTCTGAATGCAGAATATATTCGTAGTTACAAGCTGGCAGTGTTTAAGCATTTTATCCATCGGAAGATAGGCTAATTGGTAATAAGTACAACCTGCAGGTGACTGTATTACCAATTTGTATAACCAAGCATAACAGTGATATGGCTTAGATTAATATCCAGAAGGAGAGACCAATTACTATGTATCAATTACTGTATCATTAAATCTTTACAAAACAGATGGCAGATTAATATTCTCAAGACTGAAACTACTACACATATCGTTATAATACCAGGGAAATTTTTCATTTTTATAAAATCTCAGTCTTTAAAGGGATACAAGTTGACAAGCACCAATAGAATATCAAAAGGATAGTAACAAAAGTACCTAGCCTCATTAACAGGCAGAATAAGAAGAAATACTTATAAATTAAAGAAAAAATGAGGTGCTAGTATTAACCTTGACTACATACAGGTTGGTCTGCCAATACATGTATTATTGAACATAGGAAATACAGTACTTTGGTCAATTTTCACCTGAAATAAACTTCTCAAATTTTTTAGTACAAGTATAAACTAAATAAGAGCAAAGAAAGTACGGTACACAAAACCTACCTTACTTCATCACTAATCAATCAACTTTACAAATCTATTAATCCAAATGGCAAGATGCAGACAAGTAAGGTTAACAGGAACACTATTTACAGACCAAGCTTTATATTAAACATTTTGCCTACATAATGGCTTTACCAAGTCAATAATTGACATTGCAACATAATAATATATTCAAAAGTAAGTAAAAGTAAGGAAAATTGGAGTGGTGACAATGTAAGGTTCTCTAATCACCCTACACATATGTGTTTTGGGAGAATTTTTCAAGACAAGTTTAGCACTTGAGGTATCGAGAATGCTGAAGCCCCCTTTCCACCATTGTAGACGGAAAGTAGAACAATCTTTGTTTAGGAAGCTGTTGCATGTACAATACTTTCAATACAATCAAAAATAGAGCAAGTGTATCTAACCTTGCAAAGCCTTTAGCTAAAATCTTGAAAAATTCTCCAAAATGCTTTGTGAACGGTTACTCAGCAGCCTTACAATTGTCACCACTCTATATCCATTACTCCCATAGGCCTCCTACACCTTATCTTCTAGTTGTTATACTGGTGTATTGACATATAGCATTGCCATGTATGTAACTGAGACCTGATAAAAACCTTGGTGCAAAACACGGTCTGTAAAAATAAAGATTTTTTCTGAAAGTGGCCTATCATCGTCTATATGTCTCATTATTAAGCATAAACACAAAAAACAGAGATACAAGCAACTCATATAGGAACAATATCGATCATGGTCATGCCATTGGACACATTTCCATGTTTAATTTCATTTCTAAATACCTCAATGGTTATTTCCCACCTAGGCAGGATGATCCAAAGAAAACACATTTATCAACATTCATTCAATTGCTGTATTTATACCTGTTTAATATTTAAAGCTAAATCTTGTCACTAACCGTTTTGTTTAATGTTTTTTTACTAAAGAAATCTGCCTTTTTTATTTTAAAGACAGACAAGTTTTCTTCAATAAATTACAGCACTCTATACTATATTAAAAATGATATAGGATTTTTGTATCTTTTCAAATTTGACTGAACATTAATATGAGAAGTATGGATAATTAAATTAAATCACTGTCTAGTAAGTTAATCTCTATATGGCATCATCCTTTACTGGATGAGCTGCTGGAGTATGCGCAGGGTAATATTTAGTGAAGGGATTCAGGGAAACCGGTTATTTTTATATAGCCGGACTCGAGTTCTGGAAATGGGAAGTACAGTGCCTGCACTTTAGAGGGGTTTGGGATATTGGCAGTTTGGAGGGATATGTAATAGGATGGTACATATATAATTGGGGCCTTGATATTACATGCTATATGGAGTTTATATTATTTCAGGTGACTTTTTATACTGTATCTTTATATATGCTTCTAAACTGTTGTATCTGGGCACTTCTTCAAAAAACAGTGGTTATGTATGAGTGAGGTGAAAGTGTTGAATGATGATGAAAGTATTTTTACTTTGGGGATTTTCTTTCTTTTTGGGTCACCCTGCCTAGGTGGGAGACGGCCGACTTGTTGAAAATAAAAATAAAAAGATGGCATCAATATACTAATACCAACTATTTTTAGAGGTTGTTTCAAATGTGCACAAAGATTTAATGTCAACCTCAGAATGCTTAACTACTAGTAACTTTGCAATTATTCCTGTTTTATACATATCACAAAACACTGATCATCTGTGACATTTCCTTTATAATGTTCCTGAAATTTATAAGCCTCAGCCTAATAACCGTTTTTACATATAAATACTGTACATAGACAAACACAAATGTTCCAGGATATCTGAAAAATGATCATAACTGTTTAGTTAATTTCACAGTACAGTACATGTACAAAAATGTACGATGAATCGGCTCACAACATACTCGAAAGTGCAACATAGAATAGTACTGGTAAATACATGTCCACCATTTCGATTTGATAAAACACATTTAAACAACACTTACACTATAATATACATTTTTAACACATTTCTACACTACTAATCTTATTGACTTATTAAAGAAATTTCTGTATTATGTTCTTTCACAATTTCCTCACAATCTGTCCAGTTACCCTATGATTTTACGAAGTAAAACATTACTGTATATACTACTATATACCAAGGCCTGACTCACCTGGTAACATCATCTTGTAAAAGAGAAACATCATGGATATAATACAGGACGGCTAAAGCAAGAGCTGGAGACTGAGCATATTTATCAAGCTGCTTTTTCAAAGGACGATCCAATTCTACCCATCGTACTTTTGGGTATGGTTTCTTGCTCATATAACGAAGACCAAAAAATTCAGGCTGAAATGGAATGCAAAATCAAACACTTTAGTGATAAAACATGTGACTTAGTATGTCTAGTGCATTATCATTCAGAGCCACATGAAGGATGAGAGTGAGGATGCTGCGGTTCAGAGGTCATTTGAATAGCGATGTCAGTAGCAAGATAGTTATTGATTGAGAGATGGTGAATGTGTTTCCTTGTTTGGGTTACCTTATTTGATATGGCTAATGCTGAAAACAAAAAAATTAATTTCACAAATGTGTCACTATGACCACAAGACAAAAATACTGTGCAGTACATATATGTATATACCTGATGCAGTGAGAGCCTCTGGCAAACATTATGTAGACAATCCTGTCCTGTTGAGTCAGCTGAAAGTGTACACTCTAGGGTGGTCTTGTCCAGGAGCTCTACACTGATGACAAGCACATTGCGGGACAACACATTATAATGCCTCGTCTTCTTTAGTCGCAACTTAAAAGGCATTGTAACCTAGAAAAGAGTGCCAGTATTTTCACAAATATAAAACAAATCATACCAATATAGATTCAACTAAATATTTTGGTTTTGAATTGCAAAAATTTAAGCAGAAAAATACTGTACTGTGGCTTGGTTGATGGTGCACTCAGCTCACATTCTGAGTGCCTGGGGTTCATTTCCTGGCACAGATGGAAACATTGGGTATGTTTCCTTACACCTGTTGCCTCTGTTCACCTAGCAGTAAGTAGGAACCTGAGTGTTAGCCAACCATTGTGGGTCGCATCCTGGCGGACAAAATTAAAGGACACCAATGGAAATAAGACAAGCACTGACTTTACTGGGTTATCCTGGGTGGCTAACTCTCCAAGTTAAAAATCCAAAGAAATTATTATCTTATTTTAATAGCCTAACAGCAAAAAAAATTACACTTCATTGTAGCCCAAAAATCCAGTGCTTATATGAAAGCCTTAAATTCATGAGCAATGTTTTATTACAATATTACATAGTAACTATGAAAATATCAGGATGAAATCTTTCTGAACTACAATTACACTTATCCATATTAACTATTAAGGGTGTCCCAAAGTATCGAACAGTGGGTATCATCTAACTTTGATGGTATCAGTCCTTTTATTTTTCCAACATGTCGGCCGTTTCCCACTGAGGCTGAGTGACCCAAAAAAATACTGGTGGTATCAGTATTGGTATAAAACTGAGTACTTATACTATCAGTAAAACTTTTGCTAAATACTGTCCCATCACTATTAACTGTTCTAAAAGTAGCTTGACTAATATAGTATGTTATTCCCTATTACAATGAAATAAAAAATTCAATGTAAATATAGTGCAGTACTCGATATTTTGTAGAGTAATGGTTCAGAGAACCGACAAGTTGATAAATTACACACATGTGCAACACGTGTAAAGATACCCAAGTGTTGCACGTGTCTAATTTATCAACTAGATACAGTGGACCCCTGGTTTATGATATTATTTCATTCCAGAAGTATGTTCAGGTGCCAGTACTAACCAAATTTGTTCCCATAAGGAATATTGCGAATTAGATTAGTCCATTTCAGACCCCCAAACATACACATACAAATGCACTTACATAAATACACTTACATAATTGGTCGCATTGGGAGCTGATCGTAAACCGGGGGTCCACTGTATTTTGTTGTCAAAAAATGCCTGAATATCATTTAGATTTACTATAATTAATGCTGAGAACTCTGAGCCCAAAGAAATGGGTTCAACACCACTTTGTTATCTATGGTGAATACACAGCTAGTTACCTTAAGGTCCAAGACTAGCAAGCTTCTCTTACTGGCAAGGTTCCATAGAATATAAATTAGGAAACAATGCATGGATGCTAACTTTTACAAAAACAATAAACCAGTCTATATATTAAACTTTTAAGTGACAGTAAAAGTTTTGTTTCTCACTTGCAAAAAAATTCTTATTAACAAGATATCACATTACCTACAAAATATCACCTGTTGAGTTTTATTTATCTTAATTCTGAATAAATTATTAGTAGAAATTATGAGGCTTGCAGAATTTCTATACAACAGTTACAAATTTAACAATGCACATAGGGTACATTGAGCAATGAAAGATATTACTGTTCTTGGGTTTACAGCTACACTAAGGCACATGGCTAACTGATCCTTCTTACTGTTAACCTTTATCAGTTGACACTACAGTGCATAGTCGGTACATGTGTAGACCCTCACTGCATTCAAATGCTCCTCACCTCCACTGGTCATGCTACAACCTTGGATGAAAAAATGGAACTAAACTTACAAAGAATATCCCTCCATTCTATTATATCTATGCGTACCTTCATAATGTAGGGTGGCCCCCGGAGCCTGTTGGTAAAGCGTCTCGCTGCACACATGGAGGATCCCGGTTCGAAATCCCGCGGGTGGAAACATTTCGACGCTTTTCTTTACACCCTTTGTCCTGATCACCTAGCAGCAAATAGTACCTGGTGTTAGTCGACTAGTGTGGGTCGCATCCATGGGGGGGGTGCAAGATTGAAGGCCCCCAATGGAAAATTAATTTAGACAGTCCTCGCTATGCACTGACTTCTTGGTTACCCTGGGTGGCTGACCCAATGGGGTTAAAAATCCAAAAAAAATCTGATTCTTATCTTGCAGTGGTATTATAGTGCCTTAGGATAACTAGCAGGAATACTATAATTTAAAGATGAACACCTGCAGCCCATTATTTGGTAATTTAATAAATACCTGCTAATTACAATTTTTTGTCATCACATCATATGGAAAAAAAACCTTAAAAGGGACCCATGGAAACAAGCCACAGTGCTTCTAATTTCTGGGTTATCCTGAGTTAACCTCAAGGGTTAATAATAGAAAAGCGTCTTTTCTTCTTTTTGTTCGAGCTCATATTTCTGGCTGTGTTACTAAGGTTATGGCTTAAATGGGTGAATGAGAGATTGAGTTATTGAGATAACTGATGTGTTATCTCAGTAAAGGGCCAAAATACGACTGCTTTACCTTTAAGTAATATAAGATAAGATAAATAAGATTTCGTTCGGAATTTAACCCCGAGGTTTTGCCACCCAGGGAAAATAACCCAAAAATTCGTGCGCCATCGAGACTGTCTAACTTTTTTCCATTGGGGTCCTTAATCTTGGTACCCCCAGATGCGACCCAGCACCAGTCGGACTAATCACCCAGGTACCTATTTGCTGCTAGGTGAACAAGACAACATGTGTAAGGAAACGTGTGCGGAATGTTTCCACCCGCCGGGAAACGAATCCCCGGCCCTCCTTGTGGAAGCGGGATCTTTAACACCAGGCCACCGGGGCCTCGCCCAAGCCGCCCCCAACTATAGACACAGGAAACCAAATCTTAACTCACATAAGTGGCATCTGGCCCCCAAAACAAACCAAGACACCTAGACATTATGTCTGAGCCGTGTTCTCTTACTAGCCCCCCCCACCCCCATACTATGTTACATGTAATCGCAGGGAGAACACAATTTAACCTGAAAACATAGCTTAAGCTCTTGGTTATTCCTGGGTGGCTAACCCTCCAGGTTAAAAATCCAATTCAAAATCTTATCTTAACCTAGGGTACGCTTAAAGCCTATTTATTTTATTTTTTTTTGGTACTCATGCTGTGGTTCTAGAGGATTGTTTCAATTCCACAATAATAACTTTATTTTTCATAAAAATATAATATAATTAGGGTTCTTGTTCTTGTATCACCCGTTTTTCAAAAAAATCACAGGAACTCACACATCCAAGTCAAAAATGCAAAATGATGAAGAAAAGTTCAAATTATATTCCAGAGAAACGCGTCGGACTGGAGTTTTATGACTCTGATCGCGGGTTCTAACCCACCCCTGATATTGTTTGTTCGCAATCGTGTCATTAAAATTTTTGTGAGTCGATACGAGTTATATTTGAGAGAATTAATACAACTCAAGCGCATTATTAAGCGTTGTTATAATATATTATTATAAAGTTGTTATTATGTTATGGATATTATATTACTGTTATTATAAAATAATATTTTTTGTACATTGGATTAAATATTAATTTAAAAGGAAATTTATATCATAACTTATATATAATGTACATTCTACACTCAAATTTATATAGGTCCCTGTCTAATACCTAATATGAAACCCTATTTAATAAATGTAATTACCTGTAATCGGTAAAATTTAATATGATAACTGTAGATTTACTTATGAAAAAAAAAACTGTAGTTATAAGCTTAAAAAAAAAATGGAATTAGTTTATCCCTAGAATGGAAATTTTGGCTGGATATAACCCCCGAGATGAACCCAAGAGCTAGAGCTCACCCAAAAAATTCAAATAGGTGACTACAAACAAATAATGACAACTAAGGTTAATAAGAGTGAGATACAGTATTGTACACACCGCCTTGAGAAAATTTGTCAATTCTGAGTAATAAGATGAGAAATAAATGTATATAATGAGTGTAGTGGCGTGTACAGGCAGGTGTGTGACAGGTGAGGCAGGTGTGAGGCAGGTGTATGACAGGTATATAATACAGCCGTACCCTTACCTTTGACTACCAAAGTTAGTTTAAAACTTGGTATGTTCCTGGCCTGGGTTATCTCTCAGCTCAGTCTTGATGATAATGTATTCAGCAGTGATGGTGAGGATGAGTTTCCGTGATACAACTAAGAGGAGCAGCCCAGTAACCCCGCCTCACCGTGACACAGCCTCACTAACACTACACCATGCCTCCTGCACCTCCCCCAACCTTCACACTGCCTCACCAGCCTCACCTCAATATAGCAAACTTGTAGCCCAAACTTTACTAAGTTATTCTGGTTCCTTATACGATTTTAGATTTTTTTGCTATTGTTTTAACAGTAAAATATGCATTATTATTATATTCAAAGACTTCAATTGAAATAAGTCACTTTTACCTTTTTTTTGGTTTATAAGAGGTAATTTACATATATGTATGATAATTGTACTAATGTGGGCTTCTACTAAATAAACTTATTTACTTATCCATGGAGGAGCGATAAAACCGAAGGGGATTATTCAGCGCCTAGGGGTAATGGGAGGAATTCGGGTTCGAGCCAAGGGAAGGGAGAACAGGTCCAGTTCCTCAGATCAAAAGCCCCCCCCCTCTCACCTCCTGCAAAGAATCTCTACTGAGGGGAACATATATGTATTTTACTTAGGAAAGCCTAATAAACCCAAAGCAAATCATATATTTCCGTTAGGTTAAGTAAATAACAACTTTTTATTCAGGTTTGTGACAAATTTAAATTTTTACAATAGTCTTTACAAATGTCTAATTATAAGACGGTATTGCAAGTGGGGGAAATACCAAACGTAACTTTAATGTATCATAAGAACCAGAACAAAGAAACTGCAGTAGGTCTACTGGCCCTTCCCTAGGCAGGTTTAACTCACCCACTCTTGTACCAGTTAAACTTATATTTAAAAGCTACCCCAAGTTTTTGCCACAATGATGCCACTTGTCAGTTTGTTCTTATCATGAACTGAAATTTTCCAACTTGAATCTATTTCTGCAGGTCCTGATTAGATAGATATTTTTTAACGCGCTATTTATACCCTCTTTACTTCTTCCTGTTTTCCATTTGCATACTTCAATCATCTTTCCTAATTCTTCGCAAGTTCAGTTCATTCAGCTTATCTTCGTAGGGAAGGTTTCAACTCCATGGTATCATTATTATATAAAAGCCAGCGGAAGGCCTCGGTCAGACGACCAAAAGCTCCAACGGCGTGTCATGGAAGACCAGCGTCAGGAAACACTTGTTCTGTTTCCTGACCAACTTTTACCTAACAAATGTCTCACTTATCCTCACAGGATCAACTTGGTCAACTTCTCTGTATATTTTTTCCCGCACATTAATGTCCATCATGTAATATGGAGACCAAAACTGAGCAGCATAATTTAAGTAAAGTCTAACCGATGATATAAAGTCGAAGTATAACCTTAGGATTGCTATTATTTATAAATCTTGACATAAAGTCAAGAATTCTATTAGGTTTATTGCGAAATTTCGATAACCAGAACTCTTAAATCTTTTCGCATTCACATCAAGATCTACATTTTCTAGTCTATATATTTCGTAGCTATTCTCTTTTTCTAAGCTTAGAATCTTACATAAACCTACATCAATCTACATCTTCCACTTCTCCGGCTATTACATAAATTTATCCAGGTCCTCAAAAAATTATTATTATTATTAAAGATTAGCCGGTTTTCCCCCGGGCCCCGGGGCCTTTTCCAAGGGGTGGCCCGGGCCTTGTCTCCCCTTTGGGGATTTGTGGACCTAATCTCCCAGGGGAGGAGGCACAAACCCCTCATCTTTGGGCCCAAAACTGTCCCCCGGCCTACCACAACAGGCCTCCCAAAAAATTTTACACCATTTTAGTAACACCAAAATTTAACAATATCATCAAATCGAACTAATGTAACTTAAAAATATTGAACCCAATAAAAAATTTTATTAATGTATTATTTTTTTTACGGGCATAAATAGGTTATATAGTAAATTTATTACTATGTTGTGGGCCATGGGGAAATTTTTTCTTCATTTAGGAAATTATGAAAAAAAAAAATTGTCTTATTTTTTTTACCTTTGTACTCACTAGTTGTGGTTCAGGGTCGATTCATGCTTCCGGGCCCCCTCTTCAAAAGGGCTAATGGGTTATTGTTTAAGCCTGGGAAGGCAGCTCAATTCCCGGACGAAGACCCTCTCACCTGCATGAAGGTACCTGGAAAAGGGGCCAAACATACAAGAAACAAAAAGTGATGAGTGGGGTGTGTGGACACGTATGTAAGATTAAAATTCAGTACTGACCACAATACACAAGTATTTCCCTCTCTCACTCCTTTCTAGGGGAAGCATTGGGTTCTGTGCTCTTGTTTTGGGGTTTGGGAGCTACCCCTCCTCCTCGCTAAAACCTCCCACCCACCCCA